AATGCTGAGCACCCACCGTGTCGCCGCGGGGGTGGCACCGACACCACGGGCTGTGCTGCTGGGGGTTGGATGAGCAGCAAAACCAAAGGGCTGTTGGGTTTTATTTCAACCACTCAGCTGAATCCCACGAGCCCATGGTGGTCCCAGTGCCAAAACCCACCTAAAACCCTGGTTCTTTAGGATATTTTCAGCCAAATTAGCTGGTTTGGGGTACCCAGAGTAACCCAAACTTTGGCTTTTCATGTGCACTTATCCCTGGAGAAATCCTTGCTGCTGGGATGCTGCCTTGTTCACTGGCCAATCCAACCAGGATGCATTGAAAAATCACCAAACTCTTGGATTTGTGGGGTTTTGGGGTCTTTTTCTGGTGTGCATTGGCATTTGTTAGATTTTGCAGCAAGCCCTAGAAAATTCCCATCTGGTCCTTTCAGTCCACCTTCATCCAAGTGCAGGGAGCTGGATCTTCCCTCCCCAGTGTTTCTACCAGAGCTGGGAGGAGCAGGGTGAGGATTTGGAGCATCTAGCTGGAAAAATGACCCCCCTACTGCTGGGAGAGGTGGCCTTGGGCTAAGACCAAGCTGCACTTTATTAGTGGGGCTGATGATTATTTATTTATTTGCCTGTAACTGGCAGCAGGAATCAGCCCAAAAGTCACGGAGCAAAGGAAAAGCTTTTCTGGAGCCGCTCGAACTGATCTTGGAGTTTGCCAGGAAAAGATTGGAGTTGCTTTTTCTTTTCCAGCGTGGTTTAAGGGGCTAGGAGAGGGGGGATTCCCGTGCTGCCACCTCTCTGTTTTCCCAAGGAAAACCTGTGGAAGAAGCAATTCAGGAGTGGGGCTTGTTGCCTTGTCGGGTGCTGCTGGAGGCTGGGATGAAATCAGCCTTCTCTGCGCGTCCCGTATTGATCCCTGTCTGGACATCTGCATCCCAGCTGAGCCCGGCTTTCTCCTCGGCCTGGCTTCCAGCCAGCTGGACATGAGGGGAATGAAAATCAGAGTGGTGAGAGCAGAGAACACAGATCAGACCCGGCCGTGATGCTGGATGGGTCCCACCCAGAGATGTCAGAGCATCCCGGTGTGCTGGGATCCATCCCTGTGCCTGCCTGGAGCATGTAGTGCTTCCCACATGGCACCTTCATGCCCTGAAACCCTGAGGGGGCTGTTGTTGGGATGGAGGTGTTGGTGGCAGGGCTGTAGCCCCAGTGTCCTACTCCTGTATCCTGAGTGCCCTCCTCTGGTTGCCCCAGTGTCCTTCTCCTGTCATCCCAGGATCCTCCCATAGCCCCAGCATCCTTCTCCTGTGTTTTATCATCCTTGCCATGGTCTAGTAACCTTGGCAGCACTGGATCAGGGGTTGGACTTGATGATCTCGGAGGTCTTTTCTGACCTGGTTGATTCTGTGATTCTGTGATTCTCCCATAGACTCAGTGTCCTCCTGTAGCCCCAGAATCCTCGTGTAACCCAAGTATCCCTGT